AGTCCTGGCTCGATCTAATTATCCTGGATTCCTCAGACAAACTCCTTGCCGCATCTCAGCACCCGGTTCCGTTTCTATCTTCCCACGATCTTGTCCAGATCTCTTACAATGTCCCTGTTCCATCCTTTTCTCCCCGAACAATATCCTTCCGAAACCTAGATTATCTCACTCACGAAACATTGTCAGAAGGTCTTGACGATATCCAGTGGGATCCCATCTACTCCTCAAAATCCATAGACACCATGGTAGAAATCCTAACCACTCAACTTCACTCTATCCTCGACCGACATGCTCCTCTTATCACAAAAACCATCCGATATCCTCCAGCTCCTTGGCTTACCCCTGCTTTGAGGGAGTGTATGAGAGAAAGAGATGCTGCAAGGCGACGGTTTAAACGAACTCGACTTCCTGATGATTTTCTCTCCTACAAACAGCTTCGAAATAGCACTCAATCAGCAGTACGCCGTGCTAAATCCCGTTACTACCATCATTCCCTATCCAACTCTCCCAATACCAAGGCTACGTGGGCTATTCTTAGAAAACTGACCATTGGTAATACACCCCAGTCTCAGTCCAATTCCGTTTCTGCTGATAACCTCAACGCTCACTTTGTCTCCTGTCCTCTTGCATCCACATCTCCCACGTCCAGTCTGGCTCCTATGTTCTCTTCCTTTAATCCTGATCACTTCTTTCTTTCCCATATTACACCAGATGAGCTCCTTAAATCCATTCAGAAGTCCCATACCAATGATTACGGTCCCGACAACATCCCAGTCAGACTGATTAAAGCCGCATTGCCATCCATTCTTCCGATCCTTTATCATATATACAATTATTCTCTTCAAAATGCTACCTTCCCTACATCCTGGAAAACCGCCCTAGTACGCCCATTGAAGAAGACTTCAAACCCATCAGTTCCTAATGATTTCCGACCGATTTCCCTCCTTTCAAACCTCTCAAAACCATTAGAGCGGTTAGTCCAATCCCAGCTATCCCATTTTTTAGAGGACAATAATCTCCTAAATCCCTACCAGTCTGGATTCAGGCCTGGTTATTCTACTCAGTCTGCCCTAATCAAAATTTCCCAAGACCTTCACACAGCCATAGATCAGCAGAAACTAACCATCCTTATTCTCCTAGACTTCTCCAAAGCTTTTGATTCAGTAGACCACAACATCCTCCTAACCAAACTTAAAAATATCTCTTTTTCTTCTAGTTCCCTTAATTGGTTCCAATCCTTCCTAACCGGTCGCTCCCAGTACGTTGTAATTCCTAATAACCCACCATCAGAATCTCTACCTCTGACCAGAGGCGTCCCACAAGGCTCTTCCTTATCCCCCACCCTTTTCTCCATCTATATAAATGACCTCCCATCCTCTATCCTGCACTGTCATTACCACCTGTATGCCGACGACATTCAAATTTACCTCTCCTTTAATCCGACAGATATCTCAGATGCCACTCAAAAACTTCAGGAAGATATTGACAGAATAAGTGCTTGGGCAAACCTCAATAGGCTCACTCTGAACGCCGAGAAGACAAAAGCCATCTTGATCGGATCCCCTTCACTCCTCAAATCCTCCCCAGTATCTCCCAATCTCTTCCTGAACAACTCACCTATCTTATTCTACACCACCGTTAAAAACCTAGGTGTTACTTTCGATCAATCCCTATCCTGGAAACCTCACATCTCCCAAATTTCCCGTCGCACTATCTCCACCCTAAAACAGTTCAATCGTCTACGATATCTCCTTCCATATAAGTCCCGTCAACTCCTAGTTTCCTCCCTTGTTTTCCCCCACTTCGACTACGGCTGTATGGTGTACGGTGGACTCCCGGGAGATTCCGAGGCCAAACTTAAACGCCTAATGAATTGCGCACTACGATTTGTTTTCGGAATCTCAAGGGATACGCATATTACCCAGTATTACACTGAGTTGAGGTGGCTCTACCCATCCTATCGCCGTCAGTACTTCCTAGCCACCTTTCTGTACCAAATTATTAGAACCCATCGACCCTCCTACATTTTTCACAGCTTACAATTCAAATATTCCATCCAATCCCGTCCCACCAGATCTCGTACTTCCGACCTCTATCCTCCTCCTCACCGAACTGCTGCGTTTGACAAATCCTTTGCAATACAAGCCGCCTCCCTCTGGAATTCCATCCCACCTGATATTCGACACGCTCAATCAGTTTCCTCGTTTAAACCACTCCTCTTTAAGCACCTACTCCTTTCTCAATCCGAATGATTGTGAAATATATCTCAGAGAAATATCTGAGCACCACCAGAGAGTACCTCAATTTATTAAGGTTATTTTAGTTTCTCATACATATGTACAATTTACTTGTTCTTTTTTTTCTCTTTTCTGTATTTTTATCGTAAGTCAACTTTCATTGTAAATATACAATTCAATTGTAGCCACACAGACATATAATCTGTATTCATATTTTGTTCTTAAGGGAAAACAGTCCCAGAATAATAAAACATTTTTTTCATTTTCATTTCATTTCATTTCATTGTTGAAATTGTTGTTCAGTGGTATCAACGTCGTTTCCAATCAACAGATTTGATTTGGTAGGTATGTCTTGTGTATCTAATGTAATGTAGATGAGATTTTCACATTAAGAATGATAATTGAGAAAGCCTGGTATAGAAATAAAAGCTTATAAATAGCTAGTTTGTCTCAGTTTCAAGAGAGGAAATATGGAAAGTCAAGAGAGTAAAAAACGTGCCGAATGGTTTGTAACTCGCAATACAATAGATATATCTGGCAACAAAAGACCTAGTGAGAATTAATGGTATGAATTCACGGATCTTCGCCATTGAAAAAGGTGTTAATCGGGGGATAGCCTCATTATTCTACTAATCATCATCTTTATGGATAAAATATCAAAAATATGTAAGAGAAGAACAACAGGGATTGGTCATTGAAAGAAAAGAACCATACTGGGAAGAGAATATGTCGATGATATATTACTCATTGTTGATTGTACACATAAAAATCCCATCGGATAGGAATAGCTAATATAATAGTCCATACTATTCCATCAGCAACAAAATCTTAGGAAATAGAGAGGTCTGTTCTATTATATGCAGCAGTGATCCTCCCGGACAGCAAATGAAGCCGAACTTTGAAGAATAACTTTAGCAGAAATGAAATACTTGCGCAGATTGGCCCCAGAAACAAGCAGAGATTGGTCAAAAAAATACGATTAATTCAGGAATGAAACACTTAAGCAATGACTAAATATTATTACAATGAAGAAGACTCTGGAGAAGAGACAGTTGGGATGGTACTGGTGTTTGTGCAGAATGATCCCGGTTTGGTACCAGTAGACCAGTAGGCACAAGACCTAGAGGAAGACATCGGCTATATTTCCAGGAAACGATTAAGAAGCTATGTTTCCAATATAAGTCAAGTGAGAGGAATGAGATTGCAGGAAATGACGGCTCTTGCGAAAGAAATAGATGGATGGACATAGTGCGTTTGGGATTAACTGTTAGCTAACAGGCATTAACAGGAGGAGGTTGCGGACTTCGGGTCACTGATTTCAATGAAAGATTTTTTGGTGATATATATATTTTTATAAACCTAACGGATATCGAAAGTAAGATTGAGTTCACAAAATCTGTAATTCTATCTATTTTTCCGAAAATAATAATTAAACATGTAGTGTACATATTACACACATATAAACAAATGAGTTTTACTTTACTAATATCTACTATAAAGCTATAAACATAGATGGAAAAATATTTTTCATGGTGTAATATGTTATATTATGTTATAATATGTACTTTACTTCCCGAGCAATGTAGGCAGTAACTTTGCGTAATTGTTTTATTGTTGAATTCCGTGTGAATTTCGTGATCGTTGAAAAACAAATTGAAGATCAGGTATTTTTTTTTAGTATTATTTTTCAGTGAGCATGTTAACCAGTTTATATTAGACCTGGGCAGAATTTATTTGAAAAATATTCCCGGAATAAATCCCCTAAATAAACTTCGATAGTTATTTCCGAAATAATTTATTTCATGAAATAACCTGACCATTATTTCCGAAATGATTATTTCGGGAATAATTATTTCAGGAAAAATGATATAATTATTTCTGAAATGATCATTTCAGGAATAATGTTGTGAAATAATCATTCTGATCGACTTTTCAGATATAATCAATATCCGGGTCGACTGTTATGTTTTCGGGGGCGCTTATTATAAAAATAATGTCAAATTTGAGGGTGCACCATCCCCGCCCCCTCCCACCCGACCCTCTTACATAAACTTTTTGTAACTTTTCTAAAATAATCATCATCAGGATCGACTATTATGTTTTCGGGGTAGCTTATTATAAAAATACTGTCGAATTTGATATTGCGCCACACCCCTCCCCCCCCCCGCATCTACTTTTTGTAACTTTTCAGATATAATCGATATCAGGGACGACTATTATGTTTTGGGGGCCGCTAATTATAAAAATAATGTCAAATTTGAGATTGCAGCTATTGCTTTTCACTCATTTTTTTTTTAAATTTTCAACTACAAATATAAAATATAATATTTGTGCCTTCAATAAGATAATAGTAGTTAATGATATAATAAAACATTGATGATCTGTATAAAAGCCACCACCGACTATCAATCAACCTCCAAGCTTATTGAAATTGTTGCATATCGTATAGATGAGTATTGAAACAATAAAATAATTTATTTTTGTATCACAATCAACCAGCTCCAACAGCCAAATTTTGAGCGAACTGACCTATCAAAAGATAACGTTAAGAGCCTCAGCAGCTTGCCTGCTTTAAGTTTTAAGCTAATTCAGTCTTACTTATGTAATTCTCTATGAGATATCATGAAAACAATTTATAAGAAAAGTTAAGGTTTTAAATGTAACATTTTTTGACAAATACTATTCTAGAAATATTGAATGTTGACATATTAAAAGTAAACAATTATGTATATAAAATAATATTGGATAATAAAAACAAATAAATAGAAAATAAATTATTTATTAAACGAGTTCAGTAGCATGAGGACTAGAGAGTAGGATAAAACGAATGGTACTCATGCCAGAACCAAAGCTAAAACTTAATGGACGAGAGTGGATGAGTATCCAAGACCGTATCCGCCATAACCGTAGCCGAGACCGTATCCACCATAACCGTAGCCGAGACCGGATGACCTCAGGCCGAGTCCGTAGCTCCTGTAGAGTCCACCGGCGACAGAGAGAGGACGGCCATAGGCAGCTCCATATCCGTAACCACGGTAAGCTCCGTAAGCACCATAAGCTGGGTATCCTCCGTAACTGTAAGCTGAGATGGCTGGAGCAGCGGCTACTGTGGCGACTGGTGCGTGAGCAACGGTGGCGATAGCTGGAGCAGCAGCGACAGCCAATGGCTTGTTGACGGTCCTGTATGAGCTAGAGTAGGAAGTGGCAGCTGGAGCGGCAACTGCAGCAACGGCTGGGGCAGCGTAGGAAACAGCGGGGGCAGCATAGGAAAGAGCGGGGGCGGCGTAGCTGACGGCTGGGGCAGCAGCAGCAACAGCCTTGTTGACGGTCCTGAAAGAGCTGGAGTAGGAAGTGGCAGCAGGTGCGGCGTAGCTGATGGCTGGGGCAGCAGCGACGGTGGCTACGGCTGGAGCGGCGTAGCTGACAGCAGGGGCGGCGGCAACAGCGAAAGGCTTATTGACAGTCCTGTAAGAGCTGGAGTAAGAGGTGGCTACTGGAGCGTGGGCAACGGTAGCAACGGCTGGGGCAGCATAGCTGACAGCTGGAGCGGCTGCTACGGAAACGGCTGGAGCGGCAGCAATGACGGCCTTGTTGACAGTTCTGAAAGAACTGGAGTAAGAAGTGGCAGCTGGAGCTGCGTAGCTGATGGCTGGGGCAGCAGCGGCGTAGCTGACGGCGGGGGCAGCAGCGTAGGAGATGGCAGGGGCGGCAGCAAGAATTGGCTTATTGACGGTCCTGTAGGAGCTGGAGTAAGAGGTGGCTGCTGGAGCGGCGTAGCTGATAGCTGGAGCAGCAATAGCTGAGGAAGCGTATCTCACAGAGGCTACAGCTGGAGCGGCAGCGTAGGAGATGGCTGGGGCGGCAGCGAGAAGAGGTTTGTTGACGGTCCTGTAGGAGCTGGAGTAGGAGGTGGCTGCTGGAGCGGCGTAGCTGATAGCTGGAGTAGCAATAGCTGAGGAAGCGTACCTCAGACCGTAAGCTGGAGCAGCAGCGTAGGAGACGGCTGGAGCGGCAGCATAAGACAAAGCTGGAGCAGCAGCGTAAGACAAAGCTGGAGCAGCAGCATAGGAGACAGCGGGAGAGGCAGCGATGCTAGCAGCTCCGTACCTTACACCAGAGAAGGCTGGAGAAGCATAGCTAAAAGCTGGAGATGTAGCTAAGATACCTCCAGCCCTAGCTGTAGCCACTAGGGCGCATAGGAAAACCTAGATGAAAGTAACGGAATAGTTTATATTATGTTTAATTCACAGATAATTTCATTCAGTGTTATATCCAATGTTAAATATATTTGTAGTATAGTAACTAGCATAATAATAAGACATAATAATAATAAAGTTCGTCTTAGGCGGACCGTTTCACACTATAAAAAAAGCAATTACTTTGATTGCTGCGTCATGTTATTATATGCCTGATATCCTCTAAAATATATTTTGCAATTAAAGATATCAAGTATAACACTTACGATCTTGGAGTACATGCTGCTGATGCCTGAGACCTGGGGGAGGAATGATGCAAGAGAGGATGTCCTCCAATTTATAGGACCCTTGGCCAGTGGGAGGGGAAGGGGGTTGCAGTTTCCGCCATACGGATCCGACAATTTGATGACACCAATCTGCATATTTTTGTTGTTCTCCTCGAACTGCTGAAGTTGTCCTGGCCAGTAACCACCTGCTGTCCTTAGCGATAGGTAGTTCTCAGCTCACCATTATCTGGTTGTAATAGTTGCTTCATCACGGTATACATATTCTGTGACAAGGAATTTGTTTTGTTTTTTTAATGAAGTGTTGAGGTAATTTTTATTGCCAAATTATGTTTTTAGATTGCGATTAAACTTTTAGTCATTTTAGATGCTTTGGAATTCTAGATGGTCTCAGCAGTCCCTCAAACTAATGCGAATTAAGCTTTTTAATTTTGTCCGAGATTCACATTTGAACAACACATAGTACAATCATTTATATAAATAAATATGCAAACACAGTTCAGTTGATGTCATAGTTTCTTATTTCTAACCACGTGTTGTCTTAAGCTATTGAACTGTTTTCAACGAACTATTACCTTAAAAAAGTGACAAAAGTCAGAAGAAAACGTAATAATCAAAAGTAATTCAATCTATCGTTGGCTATTCCATTTGTTTTACTTAACGGTAAATTTTTATATATGCTGGCTAGATTTTGTTAGATCCCTACCAAAATATTTTCCAACCAAAATTGTTGGATCATATTGTATTTCCATTCCATAAGTTCTCAGCTCAAAATATTTGCTGGTGATATCAAATAGAAAATATTTTTTCTTTCTTTCTCTTTTAAATTCCTCATGAAAATATCCTCAAAACCTAATTTCATTATCTAAAAAAGTAAAGCTATATAATAAGTAAGTATGCCTATATAATGCCTAAATTTATTTTAGTGTTGGAGTTTAGTTTAAATTAAATAAAGTTTTTTTTTTTTACAAAGAGCGATTACTGTCTATTGACAAGCTGATAGGTGCTATACTAATAGAATTGTTGTTGGAAAGGGTGTTTTTTCAATTTCAATGTTATTAGATTTGATTTTCGCTCTTTAAGTTAAACATGTATTCGGATGTCCTTTAATTTTGTCCTTGCCCTCTTACATTTCAAAATATATTTCCAGCCAAACCAGTCGCCTCTCGACATATCTTCACATCAATCTTCATGCTTTTTAATATTTAAATCATGATCTAAATTATATAATTTTGTGTTTGATTTAATTAAAATTTTTAATTATCAAATAAATGTTAGGTGCTTTATTTTGTGTCTTGCGTTATAAATCTCATTGAGTCATATTTATTTAAATTATAATCTATAAGTTACTGTATTTCTTTATTTTAATTTCAGTGTTATTTGAATAATTTATTTCGTCATTCTGGCTCAATGTGGACAATGGTTTGTGTGAGGAAAGAGCACATATGGGGGACAAAAATTTGAAATACTTTTAATTCCATAAACCATAATGTACTTCACATATTCAGTAATTTCAATCCTCTAATTGAATTATTCTAAATCTATCTACATCCCTGTAGAGCTGTAGGGGGAAATGCAATTAAACTAGAATTTTTTTTTTTAAGTTAATAAACCTTAAGATCTTTACTTCCATTATACATACAAACTACAGTTACAATTAATATAAAATACGAAAATTCATCACACTATATATTTTTAGTTTGTCAATCTGAAAATATATTTAAAAAATTTTCATTTAATTTCCTTAGAACATGTATTAACCATTCAATAATAACAAAATCGGACAATTAATGTTAATAATAACTACAAACTAAAAGTCATTAGTTTTTCGTTGATTTCCCTTATCAATCTGGGACTTCATTTGTTGTATATCACTACTGTTGAAATATTTTCACAGGAAAAATTAATGCTTTTAGATTTATTTATATATAGATATATAGGCAGACCTCTGGAAATAATAATAACAAAATAAATAAAGTTATTACCTATATTTAACATAAAAATGTGAATCTGGTCGGCCATCAATATTAGGAAACCAAAGAACTTTAATATTGGCATATCCACTCTTAAAAGGTAACCTTAACAACTTAAATGATGGACGGTCTGGAGGAACTGACAAAGAACCCTAGTCCTCTGTTCAATAAAATATCTGCAACAACTACAACAAACATGAAAATTGGTAAAAATTAATCAAATAAAAAATATCTTATTAGTACATTCATAAATTATAAATATTACCCTTCCCCTTCTACAGCAGCTGTAGTAGCTTTAATATGAACTGGGTACTTAGTGGCAGATTCTAAGCCAGCTAGTCTGACTCTTAATTGTTTAGGATCACTTATTTGAGGTTTTCGTTCAATCAGAGGTCCCACATTAGTACAATTGATCGTTTGATAATAAATCTGTAACAATTAAAATCAAATTAAGTTGTTGTTGTTTTGGGTTTAGGGGCAAAAAACTGCTGACGGTTATCATTGCCCTCAAATCGTACTGATTGATTTATTTTTCAATCTTAAAACTACTATTACAAAAATAAATATGTTTTAAAAAGGAATAAAAAATATATATACATACATTACTATCGAGAAGAGAAGACAAAAAAAAAAAGGGAGAGAAAAAAGTATAGAGTATATAGAAATTAAGTCAATGTATCGCAAATTTATGAGAAAAAAATAATTTAGTTCAGATTAGTTGAATTAGCTTTATGTTCTTAATGAATTCAATGATACTATCGATACGCTGTTCGTTATCTGTTAGTGCCTCACAGAGCTGACGAGATACACCACGTCTTTTCATCTCTCTCCTGTAGCGAGGACACTCCTCAAAGATATGGCTCACTGTGAGAGCCACTTTACTCAGTTGACACTGAGGTGGATCTTCCCTTTCCATCAGCTAGCCATGGGTCAACCGGTAATGTCCAATTATGAGGCGTGTGATGACTACTTCTTCTCTTCTACACTTCCTGGAGGACGAGGCCCAACAACTGACGGTCTGTTTGATTATCCTCAGTTTATTATTCTCCAACGCGGTTCAGTTATGTTGCCATTCGTTTAAAATCTTTATGTTTATTGGATTCAATAAATCTGATGTTGAGATATGAGAGGGCGTTATTACTTCCCGTGAATGGGCTTCTGTTGCTGCTCTGTCTACTTCCTCATTTCCAGAGATACCAGAATGACTGAGAACCCATAGGAAAGTTACTTTCTTCGAAGAATCTTCTATTTTTTTTTATGAGAAAGTGGGTTTCTTGTACAAGTGGTTTTTCTGAAAATAAATTGTAAAGAGATTTGAGGGCACTCAGTGAGTCAGAGCATACAAATATGGACTGTTCCTTTGATGACTGGGCCAATTCTTGTGCTTTTAAAATTGTCATCAGTTCGGCTGTAAAAATACTGCAGATACATTCCAGTTTGAATTTTAGAGTTTTACCAGCATTTAACACAGCACACGATGTTGTTTTAGAGCCGTCTGTATATATTATTTTGTCAGACGGATAATTACTAAGTTCAGCTAGGAACGTTTGATAAATCTCTTGTGGGGAACATGTTTTTGCCTTGGAGACTTTCAACATATTACTGTTTACTTGTGGAGGTGATAATGTCCATGGTGGTAGCTTTGTTCGTTGTTTTGTGAATGTATGTTGAATTAGTTCAGAGGTAACCCGTCTCATTCTATACCAAAGTGGATGGGAGGAAAATTTCAATCTTCCGTATTTGTCGGCGTTATTCTGATGGAATATAGAATTGTAAGCAGGGTTTTCTGGTTGGGTATATATTTTCGTAATATATTTGGCACTCAGCTTTTGACGGCGATATAAAAGAGGTACTATACCAGCATCCGCGCAAAGACTGTTAGCCGGTCATGTTTTGAAATCTCCAGTGGAGAGGCGTATGCGTGAGGACTGCGTCTAGTTTTTTAATTTTATTATGGCTTGCGGAGGCGTGGATAAAGCTACCGTAATAAAATTAAGTGATAGACAGTGAGTAGACAAGAAAAAAACATAACTTCTTGATTTTGATTAATTTTAACATATTATACATACATAACGTGGAGGCAAAAAATATTTGCACACTTCGTTTTTTCTTTAAATAATGAATTTAAATAGTTTCAAAAAATGATTTGAGTTTACGCAATAAAAAGTACAATTTAAACTTGTTGAAAAAGAATATGGGTTCAATTGAAAACATTGATCATAGTAAAAAAAAATTAAAAATAACATATTGCCATGAAAAAAGTATTCGTACGCTTTGGTTCTTTACTTTCTTATAATTATGTTCTTTCCTATCAGTATTTCAATAGTGTAAGATCTATGTATTTTTTAATTGCTTGATAATACCAAAAAGAAAAAGAAATGAACTGAGTGCTGTAACTTGCGAGAAAGTGATTTTAATGCAAAACCAATACAGATCATATCACGAAATAGCAGATTTCTTGAGTCTTCATTTGTATGATAAATCGATATGGAGAACGGGTTAAAAATAAAAATAACCGGTACAAAGGTCGTCCCAGGAAACTAAATAAAGGAATGAAGTGAAAAATCAAAATTTAAGGGCTCATAAATCCAGCCGTAAGTGCAGATGTCCTAGCTAATGTGGAGAATGTTAAAGCTGGCAATACATTAACAAGCTTTGCCATCACGGCCTCTTTAGTATTACAAACCATCAGAACACCTTTACTGCCCAACTATTAATTTAGTAGCATCTAATTCAGAGTAGGTATATTTCTTGAGACAAATATCTCGTCCAATTTTTTAATATTAGGTAAAACTTAAAATGGTTATTTATTATTTGTTATTTATGTGTAGGCTGGTTGCTAAAACATATAATTTTAGTGTTATTAGTTTTTGTAATTATATATATATATATAATTGTAATATACAATACAATCATTTATGTAATTTTTTTTAAACTGTTTTATTGAGTAGTACAATAATTTGTCACTATGGAGAATAATAGTAATAATAAGATAACAGTACATTCACATCATATCCAGGCAATATAAATGACTTACATA